AAGTTCACACTTTAAATATTTCAACTTAATACTTTTTTAAAAAAATTTATTGAATGTATTGGGGTAACAATAAATTATGTATGTTTCAAGTATACCTGTTGTCTGCTTAATCCCTTCACCTTTTTCACCAAGCCCTCAAACCCCCTTCAGTCCGACAGTTGGCAGTCTGTTTTCTGTATCTCTGTTGCTATTTTGTTCATTAGATTCCACAAATAAGTGAAATCATATGGTATTTGTCTTTCTCTGACTGGCTTGTTTCACTTAGCATCATAGCCTCGAGGGCCATCCATGCTGTCCCAAAAGGTAAAATTTCCTACTTTTTTACAGCCAAGTAGTATTCCATCCAAGTAGTATACCACAGCTTATCCACTCATCTACTGATAGACACTCGGGCTGCTTCCAAATCTTAGCTATTATAAATACTGCAATGAATATTGGGGTGCATATGTTTTTTTAATTAGTGTTTCTGGTTTCTTGGGTATATTCACAGAAGTGGAGTTGTGGGCTCATGAAGCAGTTCCATTTTTAATTTTTTGAGGTAACTCTATACTGCTTTCCACAGTGTCTGCACCAGTCCACATTCCCACTAACAGTACATGAAGCTTCTCTTTTCTCCACATCTTCCGCTAACACTGGTCGCCATTGTGATAGGCGAGAGGTGATACCTCGTTTTAATTTGCATCTTCCTGATTAGTGACATTGAACACTTTTTTATGTCTCTTGGCCATTTGTACTAGTATGTGCTCTTTGGAGAAGTGTCTGTTCAGGTCCTTTGCCCATTTTTTAATTGCATTGTCTTTCTTTGTTGAGTTGTATTAGTACTTTATGTATTTTAGAAATTAATCCCTTATCAGATGTATCATTGGCAAATATGTTCTCCCATTCAGTGGATTATCTATTTTGTTGATGGTTTCCTTTGCTGTGTAAAAATTTATGTTTTATAAAGGCAGTCCCATTTGTTTTTTTCTTTTGTTTTCCTTGCCCAAGGAGATATATCAGAAAAAATATTGCTAAGAAATGTCTGAGATTTTACTGCCTATGTTTGCTTCTAGGATTTTTATGTTTTCAAGTCTTACATTTAAGTCTTTAATCCATTTTGAGTTTATTCTTGCGTGTGGTGTAAGAAGGTGGTCTAGTTTCATTTTTTTGTACATATCTGTCCAATTTTCCCAACACCATTTATTAAATAGATTGCTTTTACCCCATTGTGTGTTCTTGCCTCTTTTGTCAAATATTAATTGACCATAAAGGTGTGGATTTGCTTCTGGGCTCTCTATTCTGTTCCATTGATCTATATCTGTTTTTATGCCAGTACCATGCTGTTTTGATTACTATAGCTTTGTAATATAGTTTGATATCAGGTAGCATGATTCCTCTTAATTTTGTTCTTCCTCAGGATTGTGGCTATTCAGGGTCTTTTATGATTCCATGTGAATTTTTGGAATATTTGTTCTAGTTCTGTGAAATACATCATTGGAATCTTGATAGGAATTGCATTGAGCTTGTAGATTGTTTGGGGCAGTATAGACATTTTAATTATGTTAATTCTAAAACTAATGTTGATTCATTGTTAACCAGAGAGCATTACAGAGTCATTTGAAATATACAGACAACTTCTAAACCCACAGCTGGTTTCACCCAAATTAAGAAAAATGCTATGATTATAGCTACATGATGTCAGATTAGAATCGTTGAACAAGAAAAGCAAATCTGATCTTTCCAAAGATTGGAGGAAGTTACAAAAAATACCCCCCCGCCCCAAAAAAGAAAAGAAAAGAAAAAATGGTCATGTTATGTGGGAAACTGATATAGGGTTAAGCCTCGGACTGACCTGCTGGCAAAGTCACAAACAAGTCCTAGCTTAGAGGGCACAGTCCTCTTAGCATAATTAGGCTTGACCTTATAACACTCCCTAGATCTTATCTGGGAAGCTAATGGGCTGAGGAAGTGCA